TCGTGTACCGCACTGTCTCCAACACTGTCCCTGCTGACAAACATTTCCAATTAAATTATTTTAATAATCTTGAATATGATGTTGAAACTATCCATCTGCAGAAGTTCCCCCAGTCTTCATCCAAGATCGATGTTACATTCTTTTTCCCTATTTTAATTTTATATATGACGCCGTGTCTCCTTTGGTTATTTTGATACTCCTGCTTATATTTTGCATATACCCGTCTTAAAGCCACAGCAACAAATTAATTATGACTGCTTTTGGTACATAAACCCCCACAGTTGCTGTAAGCGGACCTCAGGGAAAACATTACATTGAAGAAAAATGTAGAATAGGCCCTTTAAACACCATCACTGGATAGAAAATTCCCAACAAAAGTGTCACCAAGATGGAGATATGAGTCGAACACACGTCAGTGTCCCAAAGGGCAAAAACACTTCAAAGTGGTCAGAAGAGCAGACCTCACTTTAATAAGCAAGCACTTCTAAACCTCTACAGGCTGTTTTCCTGAGCTGCAAGCAGATAAACATACAAGTAGTTTATTTACCTGTGATAGCTTTAAAAAATACCAGCAAAGTCCAACAAACCTCTGCCCATCAGAATTTAAAGGAATAGTTTGGTGGAAAAAAAAAAATAATAAAAATAATAATTTTCCATCTACCCCACAACTGGAGCGTCGAACAGTGGCTAACAAGCACTAGACTTCAATAGTCACCCAAATAGCTCAAATCATTTCTGTACAAATACATCCCCAAAACGTCTCTCAACCCACTTAAACAGCATCCAGGTCTTAATTTAGGTCGTCCCAACTTCATAATGAGGTTTACAGCATGGCATGCCGAACTTATTTGGGTGACTATTGAGTTCTAGTGTTTGTTAGCAATGTTAGCCTAGATGCTCCACTTCTAAACTAAAGTGCTACAGCCTGAACGGACGACAGTTATACAGACATTCCTTAGTCCAGATGGATAGATGGTCACATCTGTCACTCTGATTAATAAAAATACATTTTATAAAAGTGCACGGTATGTTTGTTTATCCTCGACTGCATTCTGACTTGTGATAAGGACAAAGTTTCAAGCCTGGTGGATCAACCTGGAAATCTGTCTGCAGCACGGAATGTTTAACTAATCCTTCGTCATGAATTAATTTTTTTAGTTTTTTCCGTTTTTCATTGATTTTCATGGTTTATTTAGTGTATTTTGCTGCATGATATGTGCGGCGCATGGATAAAATCGCCCGCCTGGTTTAGGTTTAGGCCGCATGGCATGCCTTACTTGTTTGGGTGACTATTGAGTTCTAGTGTTTGTTAGCATATGTTAGCCTCGATGCTACACTTCTAAACTAGAGCAGCAAAATCTGGACCCCAAATGTTTCTCAGCCAATCAACTACATCTGAGGTAAGTGGAGAACTGTGCAAATGTGATTTTTTCGCTGAATCATTCCTTTAAGGCCCGACAGCCTTATTAGCTATTCAAGTAAACAGTGACAACACTAGGAGAAAACATCACATCTGTGTATATTCAGCAAACTATTTGTCAACATTAAATCCGTTGGTGAGGAGCGAGAGCAACGGGAACAGAAACCGACAGAGAAACAGATCTAAATTTTCAGTTCCCCAAAAGTCTTCCAAGTTGTTGCATCAGTGCGTCCAAACAGGCTGAAGAAAACGATTACAGAGATCTACAAGCGACCGAATCTGAAACGGCCCCGTCAGAAACGCTATCTAACGGACGTTATTAGTGGACACAGAGATTAGAGGAACATTAGTGAGGTGGATAAGAATAACAACTTCCTATTTAGATTGGCTGATGCATATCTATGCAAACCCATTCCTGCCAATTAAAATAATAAAAGAAAAAAAAAAACAGCACCTTTTTTTTCCCCGTTAAGTCAACTGTAATGCCATTATATTGCAACAGCATCTCATTACTTTGAGGTGCTTTCTCATCATTTTAAAATGCTTTGTTTTTGAGATAAAAATATAAATACATATTTTAACATAAACAATGAGATAATGCCTTAGCATCTTAAAATAATGACTTAGTAACTCAAAATAATGAGACAGCGTTTCAAAATAATGACTCAGCATCTCAAATTAATGAGACAGTATCTTAAAATACTTGTGACATCTCAAATAATGAAGACTTAGAACCAAAAAATAATGGCTTAACATCTTAATGAGGCTGTATATCAAAATAATTATGTGGCATCTCAAATCAATGACAGTTTTTAAAAAAAAATAACTTTACATAATATTGAGACAGTATTTTAAAATAATGAGTAATTCTAAGTAATGTCTTAGTATCTCCAAATAATATGGCATTTCAAAATACTAATAATAATACAAAATACTAAATAATAATACAAAATAATGAGATAGTATCTAAAGTTAAATGACACAGTATCTCAAGGTAAATGAGACATCACCTCAAAATAAAGACTTAGTCTCATTGTTTTGAGATAGTATCTCAAATTAATGATAGCATCTCAAAATAAAGATAGTATCTCAAAACAATTACTCTCAAATTAATGAGATAGTACCTTAAAATAATGAGACTGTGTCTCAAATTAATGATAGCATCTCAAAATAATGACTTAGTATCTCAAAACAATGAGACTGTATCTCAAATTAATGATAGTATCTCAAAACAATGAGACTGCATCTCAAATTAATGATAGTATCTCAAAATAATGAGACTCAAATTAATGATAGCATCTCAAAACAATGAGACTGTATCTCAAATTAATGATAGTATCTCAAAATAATGACTTAGTATCTCAAACAATGAGACTGTATCTCAAATTAATGATAGCATCTCAAAATAAAGACTTAGTCTCATTGTTTTGAGATACTATTATTAATTTGAGATAGTATCTCAAAACAATGAGACTCTCTCAAATTAATGACTTAGCATCTCAAAACAATGAGACTGTATCTCAAATTAATGATCATATCCCAAAATAAAGACTTAGTATCTCAAAACAATGAAACTCTCAAATTAATGATAGCATCTCAAAATAAAGACTTAGTCTCATTGTTTTGAGATACTATCTCAAATTAATAATAGTATCTCAAAACAATGAGACTGTATCTCAAATTAATGATAGCATCTCAAAATAAAGACTTAGTATCTCAAAACAATGAGACTGTATCTCAAATTAATGATAGCATCTCAAAATAAAGACTTAGTATCTCAAAACAATGAGACTGTATCTCAAATTAATGATAGTATCTCAAAATAAAGACTTAGTATCTCAAAACAATGAAACTCTCTCAAATTAATGATAGCATCTCAAAATGATGACTTAGTATCTCAAAACAATGAGACTGTATCTCAAATTAATGATAGTATCTCAAAATAAAGACTTAGAATCTCAAAACAATGAAACTCTCAAATTAATGATAGCATCTCAAAACAATGAGACTGTATCTCAAATTAATGATAGTATCTCAAAATAATGACTTAGCATCTCAAAACAATGAGACTGTATCTCAAATTAATGATCATATCCCAAAATAAAGACTTAGTATCTCAAAACAATGAAACTCTCAAATTAATGATAGCATCTCAAAACAATGAGACTGTATCTCAAATTAATGATAGTATCTCAAAATAATGACTTAGCATCTCAAAACAATGAAACTCTCTCAAATTAATGATAGCATCTCAAAATGATGACTTAGTATCTCAAAACAATGAGACTGTATCTCAAATTAATGATAGTATCTCAAAATAAAGACTTAGAATCTCAAAACAATGAAACTCTCAAATTAATGATAGCATCTCAAAACAATGAGACTGTATCTCAAATTAATGACAGTATCTCAAAATAATGACTTAGCATCTCAAAACAATGAGACTGTATCTCAAATTAATGATAGTATCTCAAAATAATGACTTAGCATCTCAAAACAATGAAACTCTCTCAAATTAATGATAGCATCTCAAAATGATGACTTAGTATCTCAAAACAATGAGACTGTATCTCAAATTAATGACAGTATCTCAAAATAAAGACTTAGAATCTCAAAACAATGAAACTCTCAAATTAATGATAGCATCTCAAAACAATGAGACTGTATCTCAAATTAATGACAGTATCTCAAAATAATGACTTAGCATCTCAAAACAATGAGACTGTATCTCAAATTAATGATCATATCTCAAAATAAAGACTTAGTATCTCAAAACAATGAAACTCTCAAATTAATGATAGCATCTCAAAATAAAGACTTAGTATCTCAAATTAATGAGATAGTACCTAAAAATAATGACTTAATATTTCAAAATAAAGACACAGCACTTCACTTAAGAATAAAAATAATAATCAGGTCCTGGATGATTATTATTATTATTATTATTATTATTGTTGTTATAAAGTGGTGGGAATGGGCTTCCACAGATACCAGACAAATGGCTGTGCAGTACAGCGGAGTGAAGGGAACTATTTAAGCGGGAAAACAGGCGGCCATTAGTCAAGTTCACAGCTAAAGGCTGCCTGCGGGTCGGTTATCGTCTCAAAAAGCTTTCGGCTTCACAAAAACCCAAAAGTTTAGCCTGGATATATCGCGGTTAGGTGTGGACTACCAGTCCTGGCTGAAAACTTTGTGTGCGCTATAAAGACCCAGACTCGCCGTCGTTGCTAAAGTTGTGGCTAATTTCAAACTTACACATCCACTACAGCCGTATTTCTACTTTCTGAACTCGGCTAGTATACTCGATTTTAGCCGTTTTAAGCTTAAATAACAGTCACTGGACACCGTCAGAGTGTCAGATAAGCCAGCCAAGCTAGTTAAAAATATATTTATATGCTATTTTTTCTGATTTAGACAGGTTGTTTTTGGAATTCTCCCGGTCCACCTTAAATGGTGCAGCAGATCCAGCAGAGCCAGGCGCCAGAATGGATCTGCTGCACCATTTAAGGTGGAACGGGAGAATTCCAAAAACAACCTGTCGAAATAGGAAGCCGACTTCAGCCTCGTTAAAATCACCCACCCTGCCGGAGCGACTCTTGTTGGAGACCACCGGGGCCGGCAGCTCTTCGTCGCTGGAGAAGGAGAAGGCGTCCGGAGCCGGAGCCGGAGTCGGAGCCGGAGCGCCGCCGCTCTTCTTGTTTTGAGAGGTCAGATTTTTCAAGTACAGCTCCACATACACGCCCTTCCTCTGCTCGCCGTTCGGGAGGGCCACGTTATTGGCCACCAGGGCGCTTTTCAGCTTGTCTTTGGTCAGGACGGACGGGTCAGCCAGAAACTCCGACATGTCTGCTTCTCTTCAGTCCGAGAAACGGAGGCGTTCGCTGCCAGCAGGCTAACAGTCATTAGCCGAGCATCATATCTTCGGCTCGACCGGCCACCACAAGAGCGCGGACGCTATTGGCTCGTGGAGGAAGAACGGGCGCTCTGATTGGTTGAAAAGTATACAAATCTCGAAGGGGAGCTCCACCGATTTTTAAAAGACTTCTACATAATCAAATGTTTGGGATGTAAACAGAGAGATTTGGTGTGAAACGGTTCGGAGGCCTTACAGTGGTGGTGATAGGAACCAGGGGTCACCATGACTACAACACAGATATAGACATTTTATTTACTATCCAGAACCACCAGTGAACCTACACGAGTCTTATAGCTCATATATGAAGTGTTGATGGTGATAAAATAGTTAAAAATCTAAAAAACAAGTTTTCTTAATACGTTTTCTTGCATTCCTTTGCTATGAATGGATTAAAATGCATTTTAAACACAACTTTATAAACTATCAAGCATTTCATGTAGTAACTTTCTGTGAGGGAGCTTTAGAGGTGGACGTCTGGTTCCTATCACCACCACTGTGAACAGTTCTGACTCGGTCAGTTTCTCTAGAACTGAGCGTTTCACACCAAACCACTCTGAATGACTCTGTTTACATTTTGTCCTTGTGAGTAATGGGAGTTAAAAATGTGATCACGTGAAAAAAACTTTTGTTTTTGTGCTTCTAAACTGCTGAAATTATTACCTCTTACAATTAGGCAGTGAAGCTCAGCACACAGTAAGAGACATTTTTAAGAAACATTTGGAAACTCATCTTTTTAACCTGGTCTTCATTTAAAATACCGTAGTAATTTGATTTATTTGCTTGTCATTTTATTTATTTATTTTTTTCCAGCTTTTGTTGTGTTTTTACTTTTACTACTTCATTTTACTGCTTGATTGTAAAGCACGTTGAGCTGTTTTGTGTATGAGAAGTGCTTAATAAATAAAATCTTATATTATTATTAATATAGAGACTTTTATATGGAATGTTGATGATGGGAAAATAGTTATAAATCAGAAAAAATAAGTTTTCTCTGGGGACTATTTTGCCTCACAGCGCCCTGCATGTATCCCTCCACCAAGAATAGATTTTAAAAAATACATTTTAGGCCAAAAGCCTCTCAAAACTATCATAAAACAGTGTCTCAGACATCAGGCAGTGAATTCATAACCATTTCATGTAGTAACTTTCTGTGAGGGAGCTTTTAGAGTTGGACGTCTGGTTCCTATCACCACCACTGTGAACAGTTCTGACTGTGTAAGTTTCTCTAGAACAGAGCGTTTCACACCAAACCACTCTGAATGACTCTGTTTACATCTGAACCATTTAATTATGTAGAATTTGTTACACTTTACAATAAAAATGCTTTTAATAAAGGATTATCAGAATATTATCTGTGAAGTAGATATATTGTTAACTACACTGTGTGTGATAACCTTCGACATCACTGTTGAGCGCATTCATGGACAGAAGTAAACAGCTAATACACTCTTCCCTGGCCTAAAAAAGCATTATTATAGCACGGCTATGGACTTATTCACCAGGGTATATTTTGGTTTGTTCATCTGAATTTACATGATCAAATCGTAAGGCAAATTATTCAGTAACTGCATGAAATAAATTTTAAAAAATTTGAAATATATTTTATTTATTTATTTTATATAAAAGCTCCCACACATATTGCTATATGCTTACAATTTACTGCTGAAAACCAAAAATCTGAGACGCTCTTTGTATTTTTTTATATAAATAATGTTTACAGAGCAGATCACTGAAGAGACGCCATCTGTTTATAGTTTATAGCCCAGATTTGGGAAAAATGGGTCGACTTTCAGTAGAAAAAAAAACTTTGAGTTCAGCTTCTTTTATTATAAGGGTTTAAATTACATCACCCATCTATTTGACTGGAAAGAAGACAGTTACAGCTCTCATACGACCCCCACCTTCTGAATGTAGCTTATGAAATATGAAAGTTATGAAGAAAATGACGAAGTGTGTTTTGGAGAACATTTGCATGTTTTTATATACACAGGAAAAGTCATAATTCATTTTGACGTGATCATGTTCTGAAATTCCTCGGCAGAACCGTGGGTTCTTTGCATTATGGAAGGGTTCTTTAGACCTCTTTTCTATGTAGCACCTCGTTTTAAACCAAAAAGGGTTCTGCTATTGTTACAAGCTCGACATTGTAACGATAGAGGAACCCTTTTGGGTGCTATATAGATGATTAAAGGCGTTCTTTGAAAGGGTTCTTCAGACCGATGGAGAACGTGCTGTAGATGCTTCTGTATAGACTCATTTTGAAAAGGGTTCTTCTATTACTACAACACTCTTAAAAAAGATGGTTCTTTAAGGGTTCTTTAGTAAACGGTTCATTAAAGAACCATTAACACTCAAAGAACCGTTTGCATGATTAAAGGGTTCTTTGCATCATGGAAGGGTTCTTCAGACGGATGGAGAATGTACTGTAGAAGCTTCTACATAGAACCTCTTTTTGAACCCAAAAGGGTTCTTCTATTGCTACAAGCTTGACATTGTAACAATAGAGAAACCCTTTTGGGTGCTATATAGAACCATCTACAGCATATTCTGAAGAACCCTTTCATCATGCAAATGGTTCTTTGAGTGTTAATGGTTCTTTAATGAGCCATTTGAAGAACCATCTTTTTAAAGAGTGAAGCTTGACATTGTAACAATAGAAGAACCCTTTTGGGTGCTATGTAGAACCCTGTTTTTAAAAAGGTTCTACACAGAACCATCTACAGCGCATTCACCATCAATCTGAAGAACACTTTTATGATGCAAAGAACTCTTTAATCATGTTAAGGGTTCTTTGTGTGTTCATGGTTCTATGAAAAACCATTGTCTTTACTAAAGAACCCTTGAAGAACCATCTTTTTTAAGAGTGTAGTGCTGAAGCACAGAACAAAGGCGGCACAAGAACAAATACTGCTGTACTTATTCAAAGAAGACTGAGCCCTCGAGATGTTCCACCATCTGTTATCAGGGTGCAGATGCAGGCATGAAAGTGGCAGAGATGCAGGAACATCTGAAAGGAATATGGGGAATATGGGGAATATGGGTCGGACACTCCCAGGATCAAATGGGAGGAACCGGAGAGGGGTTCTCAACAAAGTCTCAAGTGATGACAACTTCATGCGGAAGGAACATAAGAACCTGGAGAAAAAACACAGACTGAACAAGGAACTATACTCTTAAAAAAGATGGTTCTTTAAGGGTTCTTTAGTAAAAAAAAAAACATGGTTTTATAAAGAACCATGAACACTCAAAGCACTTTGCATGATTTAAGGGTTCTTTGCATCATTAAAGCGTTCTTCAGATTGATGGAGATCAATTTTTCATTTCAGAATGTGGCAAATGTTATCAGTGGTGACAGATCTGGACTGCAGGCAGGTCAGTTTAGCACCCAGACTCTTTTAATATGGAGCAATGCTGCTGTAATACAGGCAGAATGTGGTTTTACATTGTCTTGCTGAAATAATCAAGGCCTTCCCTGAAAAAGACGTCGTCTGGATGGCAGCACATGTTGCCAAAACATGTATATATCGTTCAGCATTAATGGTGCCTTCACAGATGTGCACGTCACCCATGCCGTGTGCACTAATGCCCCCTATACCATCATGAATACTGGCTTTTGAACCGCGCACTGATAACAAGCTGAGTGGTCTTTAGCTCGGAGGACACAGTGTCCATGATTTCCAAAAAGAATTTCGAATGTTGATTCGTCAGACCACAGGACACTTTTCCACTTCGCCTCGGTCCATCTTAAATGAGCTGGGGCCCAGAGAAGGTGGCAGCATTTCTGAATCCTGTTTATATTTGGTTTCTTTTTTGCTTTTTAGAGTTTTAAGTTGCATTTGTGGATGCAGTGATGAACTGTTTTCACAGACAGTGGTTTTCAGAAGTGTTTCTGAGCCCATGCAGTGATTTCCACTACAGAATCATGTCTGTTTTTAATGCAGTGCTTCCTGAGGGCCCAAAGATCACGGCCAGCAAATACTGGTTTTTGGCCTTGTCCCTTACATACAGAGATTTCTCCACATTCTCTGAATCTTTGAATGATTTTATGTACTGTAGATGATGAAAAGCAAAAGTTCTTTACTATTTTATTTTGAGAAACGTTCTTCTTGAATTGTTGCACTATTTGCACATTGGCAGCCCTCAAACATGGCATTTCTACTTTGCTCTTCCAATGAAAAACATAAGTTACAAACAGCTGGATTGGCTCGAAATAATGAGGGGCACAAAATATTTACCTTAAACTGACAATGGATATAAAGTGTGCAGCACATGACCGTATATTAGTTTATGCAACTTACTGCAATCTGTGATCAGAAATTTAGTCTGCAAACAACTCCTTTATTTTGCTTTTATCATGATTATGTTGCTCTGTTGAAATGAGATCACCTTAAAGGGGAATTACACCATTGAAAAAAAATCGGCATAATTAAATCACTGAGAGGTGATTCAGATGTCTTTACAGTGGTGGTGATAGGAACCAGGGGTCGCCATGACTACAACACAAATATAGACATTTTATTTACTATCCAGAACCACCAGTGAACCTACACGAGTCTTCTGAGTTTATATGGAATGTTGATGATGGAAAATAGTGGAAAATCTGAAAGTAAAAAGTTTTCTTTGGGGACTATTTTGCCTCACAGCGCCCTGCATGTATCCCTCCACTATGAATGGATTTTAAAAACTGTGTTTTACGTCAAATTCTTCTTAAAACTATCATAAAACAGTGTCTCAGTCATCAGGCAGTGAATTCATAACCATTTAATGTAGTAACTTTCTGTGAGGGAGCTTTTAGAGGTGGACGTCTGGTTCCTATCACCACCACTGTGAACAGTTCTGACTCGGTAAGTTTCTCTAGAACAGAGCGTTTCACACCAAACCACTCTGAACGACTCTGTTTACATCTCAATCATTTAATTATGCAGACATTTAACTCTCCATCTATCAACTGCAGATTTGCAATGCTGCCTTTGCTGAAAAAAGTCTGTTAAATCAGCAATTAGCTTGTTTGCATTACTTGAAAAACAGCATATATGAATGTAAAGCGAACAGAGCTGAACTGTAACTCGATCACAGTTTGTGCCGATGCTGCCACCTGCTGGTTAATTCTGGAAATAAACAGAGTTACAGCTTTGAACAAATCGTATGGGATGTGCCACTAAAACAGGGTTCTATTGAAATGGGTTCTATAGAACACCAAAAAGCATTCATCTATTGTTACGATGTCAAGCTTGTTACAATAGAAGAACCCCTTTCAAAAAGGTTCCAAATAGAACCGTCTAGAGCACATTCTGAAGGCCCCTTTCACGATGCAAAGAACCCTTCAATCATGCAAAGGCTTTGAGTGTTCATGGTTCCATACAGAACCATTGTCTTTACTAAAGAACCCTTGAAGAACCATTTTTTTTTATTTTTATTTTTTTTTTAAAGAGTGAAGCTTGACATCATAGAAGAACCATTTTTGGTGCTATACAGAACCCTTTTCATAAAGTTCTATATAGAACCATCTACAGCACATTCTTCAATCTGAAGAACCCTTTCAAGATGCAATCATGCAGTGGGTTCTTGTGTGTTCATGGTTCTGTATAGCAGGGTTTCACGTCCTGTGGTGCGCAGGGCTGTACTCAGGGGGAGGCAGAGACATACACCAATCAGGCATAACATTCTGACCACCTCCTTGTTTCTACACTCATTGTCCATTTTATCAGCTCCACTTACTATATAGGTGCACTTTGTAGTTCTACAGTTACAGACTGTAGTCCATCTGTTTCTCTGATACTTTGTTAGCCCCCTTTTACCCTGTTCTTCAGTGGTCAGGACCCCCATGGACCCTCACAGAGCAGGTACTATTTGGGTGGTGGATCATTCTCAGCACTGCAGTAACACTGACGTGGTGGTGGTGTGTTCGTGTGTGTTGCGCTGGTCTGAGTGGATCAGACACAGCAGTGCTGCTGGAGTTTTTAAACACCTCAGTGTCACTGCTGGACTGAGAATAGTCCACCAACCAAAAATATCCAGCCAACAGTGTCCTGTGGGCAGCGTCCTGTGACCACTGATGAAGCACTAGAGGATGACCAACACAAACTGTGCAGCAGCAGATGAGCTATCGTCTCTGACTTTACATCTACAAGGTGGACTGACAAGGTAGGAGTGTCTAATAGAGTGGACAGTGAGTGGACACAGTGTTTAAAAACTCCAGCAGCACTGCTGTGTCTGATCCACTCGCACCAGCACAACACACACTAACACCACCACCAGGTCACAGTGATTAAATGAGTGATTAGATGAGCTATAAATGGCACGTCACCAATGTTTTATTGACTAAATGATACAACAGCCATGTTGCAACCAAAGACAAACAAGTTAAGAACTTAAGTCGCTTTTAAGCTTGCAGTCCAAAACGCCCCAGTATCCGGGTACTCGGGGGTCCGCGTGTTATTACACCACAAGATACCACTGTGAATAATATGCGAACAGCATTTGACATAACATTTCTCCTCAGGATCACTTCCACTGAGATATCATTAACCGAACGTGAGCACTGTGTATTCCCTTTAATGAAAAACGTTTTGTTTAAAAGCACAAATTACGAATCTGAAAGAAAAAAAAAGGAGAAAAAAAAGAAAAGAAATGAAACAAAACGAAACAAAACAAAAGTGATCACAGTGCTGTGGAAACAGACCGCTGTGGAGGAGCTGAAACAAATCTAACAGCATCAGAGAGAGAGTAGGCAGCTGGGGGTCTCCCATCTCTACTACTTCCTCCTGGTGCTCGGTGGATTCCCCACACTCCCCGTGTTGAGCTCAGCTCCTCAGGCCGTTTCGGGAGATGGAGTCTGGGTGGCACAGCACTCTGCAGGGGCGTGGGCTCACTGCCCCATCCCTCTCTGGACCTCACCTAACCGCTTCCCTCTCCGCGCCTCAAGCCTTGATCTCAGCCGGAGGGCAGTACAGCGCATCCGAGTTCTCCGACGACAGCTCCTCTGTCGGGAAACGAGGGAGAGGTTAGAGCCTACATCACTCAGCAGTGTAAACAGGAGAAACAACCCACTGAAATTACTCTACACCAGAGGTGTAAGTAACGAATTACATTTACTCTCGTTACAGTAATTGAGTACAGTTTTCCCTGTAACGGTACTTTGAGTGTCATAGTACTTTTACTCTTACTTGAGTTAATTTTTAATGAAATACTTTTACTTCACTACTTTAATTTTCATAACGTTACAGAGTAAAAATAAATGAGTGTATCAGCTCAGAAACCAATAAGAACGAAGCGCTATTAAATTTAAAAGATTCACCAATCAAAAAACAGCAGCTCCGGCAGGAAAAACACTACAGAGAAGGACAGAGGAGAACTGAACCAGCACACACGAGGAACAGACGGTCCAAACGGTCATCTGTGTTCATTTAACATGAACTAAAGAAAACAGCGTCATTATCAGCGACCAAACAAGAAACCTGCTGAGATCCGCTCTCACAACTTGAGTCCAGCCTGAGGCAGCATTAGCCGAGCTAGCTGATCCGAGCTAAACAGGTACCGTGTTTACGGTTTCTTCCTTCTTTTATAATGATTGTTTATTAAACTTTAAATCTATTGCGTATATTTTATTATAAGTGTCTGTCAGCTACTTTAGTCAAGTGGGTGTCGCCCACAGCCTACAGTTTACCATTTATACAGCCTATTTTAGCTGCTGTTTGGAGATAAATGGTCATTTATGGCTGTGAGACAAGAAATCTAGTCTAATACAGGTTCTTCATAAACTTTGGACAGTGATTCTGTCGCGCTGTCGTTCTTTAAGCTGACCGGCCTGATCTGATCCCTCCTCACCTCCAGCTCTCAGAGGTTTAGCTTTAGTGTTTTTGTGTACAGATTATTTCCAGTGATGTAGCCGAGTAGCTCAGAAATATGTTCAGGTTGTGACAGCAGAAATACGAAAAAGTAACTAAGTAACTCGGTACTTGAGTAGTTTTTTAATGAACTACTTATTTACTCTTACTTGAGTAATTTTATTTACTAATACTTTTACTTGTACTTGTGTAAATTATCACTACAGTAACAGTACTTATACTTGAGTAGGGATTTTCAGTACTCCTTACACCCCTGCTCTACACTGTTAGAAATAAAGGTTCTATGCAGGTACATTTTTCGTTCATCAAGGTACAAACAATGTAAATGTTCCCTCAAAGGTACAACAGTGGTTTTAAGATCCAATTGTGAACCTTGAATAAGTGTTTTCCAGGTGAAAAGTACATATTTGTACTAGTGGTGTCAATCGATTAAAAAGAATTATCGAATTAATCACACTAATAAGTTGTGATTAATGATTAATTGTGAAGTTTTTTTTTTAACATCCAAATATCCCACCTAAGCTTCATCAGCTCTGGTGGTTTTCTGCTACCATGAGTATCCCAAGGATTGATTAACAGCTTAAAGGCTGGTTTTACTTCTGTTCAGCGGTGAAAGCGGTAACTTCGGTGCTCGTCCTCACTCAGGGTGCTGAAGATGACTCGGGTATAATCCCCCTTGCATTTCTTACTTCTTAAGCACTTAAGTCTTTTTAAATGCTTGCAAAAGCCTTCCTGAGGTGCTGGATCTCAGGAATGTCACAAGCTGTATTGCTATTTCAGGCGTTTATGTTTTCTGTTTGTGTAAAGCACTTAACTGCCACTGTGTATGAAAGGTGCTATACAAATAAACCTTACTTGCCTTGGGCCAAATCATAGGGCTGTAAATGGGCGTGTAAAACTGCGATAGGAACTTTTTACCCCGACCAAAGTCACATACCTTCCATGTAGACGTCAGAGAACAATTTAAAATACTGAATAAACACAAACACAATCTATGGCACCTTTAAAGGGCCCATATCCTGTTTGTCCACTTACAATGTGTGTGTGACTTTATGGACACTGTAAAAATGGTAACAAGCAGTTTTATTCAATCTAAATAAATACTTTTAATGAATGATTCTTTAGCCAAAATTCATTTTTTAGTGTTGAAAAAAAACTAGTTCAATTGCTTTTTACCACATGAAGTAGTTTTTTAGGTTGAAATGACAAACTATTTTTTACAGGTGTACCAAAAACAGTTATGATTCATTTGTACATTAACATTTTCCAACCTCTCTTCATCCCTTAGTACTGAACAGGCCGTTTCTTTTCACTGCACCTTTTAGACTGATATACAAATCAGCTCTGTTCTGATAGATAGATAGGTCGATGGATAGATGGATAGATACTTTATTGATCCTGAAGGAACCTTAGCAACTGGCGAAGATTGGCTAGATTGGCCACATTCAAAAAGCAGACCAGGCTGAAACACTGCTTTTAACTCCTTGTGTCAGCGTGATCCCTTTGGGATCAATAAAGTATTCTGAATATGAATCTGAATTTCATTTCATTGATTCTTATTTTACATTCATGGTCATTAAATCATCAAAATAATCAAAAGTTTCTCACGTACTAATAGAATCCTATATGCAAATAATAGACTGAATAGGCAGATGTACATAAGTGAATTGGTTTTTGTGACATTATAAAAACAATGGATTCAAAACAGGCTGTAGCTTTTGCAGCTTAGTTTACATATTTGGGGTCGTATTAAAGAAACTTCCTGTCTTGTTGTCTTAAGATCTGACAGTTCAAGATAAGATTATTCACAGATTCGTATTACAGAAGCAAATCTGATCTGTATTTAGGAATCTTATCTTACAGCATCTTATCTCAAGTTAGGAAATCTTAACTTACTCAATCAGATTCAACAATGAACTGTTATGTCTGTTACCTAGCAACCAACCGTATGCACACAGCTAACGTAAAAACAAGTAATCAAAACAAAAAAAAACTAAAGCGCAAAAAAGTTGAAGTTGTGAATACTGTGAGAGCGCCCTCTGCTGTTTATCAGAGCGTCGCCGCTCCCCAGTTTCAGTCTCCATTTCCCAAACGCTTTAGCCGAGCGCGCTAACGTTACTCCTCCTAATAAACCGACACACGTTCAGCTCCGTCTCCTCATTATTCACCACCATCACTGTAATATTTCATCATCAACATTAACACACGAAGGTGATCAGAGGGGCGGTGGAGATCGAGTCTGCAGCGTCTGAGATCTTTAAAACGCAGAGTTAGAAAAGAAAATCATCTCACAGTGAAAGCAGCGTTTTACAGTAGAAATAAATGGAGCTCATTATGCTGGTAGTGAACTATGCTGCTGACTCAGCTGCCTAAAAACCATAGAAACGGACCTTAAACAGAAGTGAGGACCCTGTTGGGGTTCATCCTAAAGTTAGGACAGGATTTAGGAGGTTTAGTCTAGTTAGGATGTTTGTGTGATGCTGTTTTCTTATCTGGAGTTACTGATGAGATTATGAAGTTAGGAATTGTTGTTCTGTAAGAGCTTCTGTCCGAAATTCAGTCCGTACTGAAGTTGTCATGATGACTAAGCAAGATCTCAGACCTTTTCTGACTCAGAAGTTTCTGTAAATGGCCCTTTGACTGTACTGAGGAGTGAACAGTATGTTTTAAAACTACTGGCTGCACTCACTTTAGTAAGTATAAGAGTTGTTGTAGCCCTTTTTCCTCTGTTACGGCACTATTTTTTATCCTAACTTAAATTTTAATGCTTAATAGATTTAACAATCCTAATTTAATTTCTAATTAGATGTTTAATTTAATGATTCTCTGTTAAATCTATTGCTTTAAATCATGTCTTTAAATTTCTCTTCTTTACTATTTTTAAATGACTCTGTATCTTCTCATTTGTAAAGCACTTTGAATGACAGCAGTGTATAAACAATGCTATGTAAATAAACCTGCCTTGCCTAGGTGTGTGGCAGAGATTTACATGGCTCTCTATAGAAGAAAGGAAAAAAAGATGTGCGTGGGTAAACACTGTAAATCAGTCCAGGAACTTGTTTTTACATGATATGGGCCTTTCAAACAAATTCCTAGAAGCTCCAAGCCACAGTACTCTCATTGTTCTGCCTGGTACACCAGTTCTCAAACCAGTCCTCAGAACCCACACAGCCCACATGTGCACTCTTCTTCAGTTCCCACCACACCTAAACCATGACATCAAAGGGGAACTTTAATTTCCGCATGATTAAATGGTGACGATGTAAACAGAGTCGTTCAGAGTGGTTTGGTGTGAAACGATCTGTTCTAGAGAAACTTACCGAGTCAGAATTGTCCACAGTGGTGGTGATGGGAACCAGACGTCCACCTCTAAAAGCTCCCTCACAGAAAGTTACTACATGAAATGGTTAGAAATATAAATGCAAACTGCTTTACAATAGTTTTGAGAAAGTTTTGGCTTAAAGTGTATTTTTGAATCCATTCGTGGTGGAGGGGTACATGCAGGGTGTTGTAAGGCATAATCCCTAAAGATTTTTTTCAGATTTTTTAGTATTTTACTATCAACATTATACACCGATCAGGCATAACATTATGACCACTTCCTTGTTTCTACGCTCATTGTCCATTTTATCAGCTCCACTTACTATATAGGTGCACTTTGTAGTTCTACAGTTACAGACTGTAGTCCATCTGTTTCTCTGCATACTTCAGTGCTGCTGGAGTTTTGAACACTGTGAACACTGTGTCCACTCACTGTCCACTCTATTAGACACTCCTACCTTGTCAGTCCACCTTGTAGATGTAAAGTCAGAGACGATAGCTCATCTGCTGCTGCACAGTTTGTGTTGGTCATCCTCTAGTCCTTCATCAGTGGTCACAGGACGCTGCCCACAGGACGCTGTTGGCTGGATATTTTTGGTTGGTGGACTATTCTCAGTCCAGCAGTGACACTGAGGTGTTTAAAAACTCCAGCTGCACTGCTGTGTCTGATCCACTCAGACCAGCACAACACACACTAACACACCACCACCACGTCAGTGTTACTGCTGAGAATGACCCACCACCCAAATAGTACCTGCTCTGTGAGGGTCCATGGGGGTCCTGACCACTGAAGAACAGGGTAAAAGGGGGCTAACAAAGTATCAGAGAAACAGATGGACTACAGTCTGTAACTGTAGAACTACAAAGTGCACCTATATAGTAAGTGGAGCTGATAAAATGGACAATGAATGTAGAAACAAGGAGGTGGTCATAATGTTATGCCTGATCGGTGTATACAGATATATGCAGGGCGTTGAGGCAAAATAGCCCCAAAGAAAACTATTTATTTTCCAGATTTCTCACTATTGTACCATCATCAACATTGCATATAAAACTCTGAAGACATGTGTGGGTTGACTGGTGGTTTTGGATGGTAAATAAAATGGCCATATTTGTGTTGTAGACATTGTAACCCCTGGTTCCCATCAAAACCACTGTACAGATACGTTGGCTTCTCTACATACCATACCGTTTCACGTCAAACCTCTTTTAATTACCTGATTTACATCTCAATGACTGAAAACAAAATTACAAACAAGTGTTGAGCAAACATGCAGGATAATCCTGAGGACCTGTTTGTAAACCACAGTTATGCAGTGTCATTCCTAAAGATTCAGGTGAAAGGTCTTTCAAACTCACCAGGAAGGACGCACTTCCACAGGCCGTATGTTTTCCCCACGGCCGTCTGCCACAGACGCAGAGTCCCGTCCTCAGAACCGCTGGCATACAGTTCTCCGTCAGGGCTGAAGCGCACACAGTGCACGGGCCCAAAGTGACCCTTGTAGGACTCTGAGATTTTTGGAGAAAAACATTCAGTACTTTTGCTGTTATATGTATTCACAAAAAAGGCTTAGCATCTCTCAAGAGCCACACATCCTACATCATATCATATTCAACAACAAATAGGGAGAGTTTAAAGCAAAAGTGGAACATTAGCCACGTTTACATGCAGCCTAATAATCCGTTAATAATCCGACTAATAGCTCAGTCAGAATAGAATGCGTCCATGTAAACAGTCGGAATAGACCAGTCCGATTGAGGCCGTTCTGATTGATCGAGGTGGGTAATCCTGTAAATAATCTGTTAAATAGAAGAATAATATCCGTGTAAACGCCTGTATCTGATTACATTCCCTATCGGAAAGTTTAAGTCCGTTCTGATCATGTTCGTCGCGTCATAGTCAAAGTTTATACTGGTCTGCAGAGGAGACGAAGTTCATGCTCTGATCTTTAAAAGACGGCGGTGGGACTTCTTTAATAAGGACATGTGAAGGACGTTTTCCTGAGTCTGACATCATTTTAAGGCGATTAAAAACACAAGCACTGCTCACTGCTGCTCATCTCACTCTGACTGGACTCACGTAATGCTGGTTGGCATAGTAACGCCTACACTAAGTGGTTCTCTCCTTTTTTTGTAATTTTTTATTTGTTTGGGGTAATAGTAAAAAACAATGTGTTTTTTTGTTGTTTTTTTGACCCCACAATTGTAAAAATATTCACGTCTACCAAACAGTCGAGATGGCCTTTTGTGGCATATACAGTGACTCAAAATGTGCTCTACCAAATGGTTGAGCAGAACATTTTAAAACATCCCTGATCGGCCAGTTTTCCGCTGGAAGGTTCAAGATGTTAAACCTTTTGTTTCCATCCAAAACTTTCCAACGAAACAAGAGTAGCGCTGTGATACTTACAGAGTTTAAATACAAGAGTGATTCTATCCTAATAAATAACTCAAAATTAGACATGCATTTATTTAGCAGCCAGAAATCATTAGGCCTTGCCTGAAGGCCTAGAAAGCCCTGAGAGTTCCCTTACTGGGCCACTCCTCAGCTCAGAGTTGACCAAAAAAGTTGTCTTAATTTTTATTAACTGATGTAATCACAAGGTAAGGAAAAAGTTTCAAGCCTGGTGCCCCAACCAGGAAATCAGTTTGCAGCACAGAAAGTTCACCTAGTATTTCGTCATGAATTAAATTGTTTAGTTTTCTGTTTAAATTTCATTGATTTTCATGGCTTACTTAGTGTGTTTTGCTGCGTGACGCCTGCGGCGCCGGGTCTATTCTCTAAACACCGCTGCGCTTCAGTGCAGCATCTGGGGCTCTACGTGGAAGCACTGACCAGTTAACACAAGCGCCGAAGTGAAAATCAAGACTTTCCGCATTGCTCACGTCACACAGACGCAGTATGTGTGAATCAGACATCACGGCTCCAGGGTGGTTGTGTTTCAGATGCTGTGGCATTCGTACTGCTCTGCTTTACAGTGTCTGCATTCGACTTGTTGACTGGTTTAGTTTCGCTGAAATGCTCCCAGACTTCTGAAAGTTTCGGTCTCGAAAGTTTCTTTGCCTCGCCTTCTTCACACTGTCCGCTGCGCCATCATTCCCTATGTTCTTCATTAGTACAGAATGCAGTCGTGCCAATGTTTTAGTTTTTATTAACTGATGTAATCACAAGGTAAAAATCTCCCAAACTCCCTGTTGATGTTTCATGGGGAAGATGTTCCGTGTGGCTGCTACATGGATTTTAATTTAACAAGCACAAGTGGTGTGTGTGGTGGGGGGAATATTATTATTATTATTGTTATTATTATTATTAATGCTACTGGTGACATGAAACTGCATTACCCTATCTTCCCATTGAAAACTAATACCTGAACAGTACTTGACAGTGATTCTCAAACCGGTCCTCAGGGCCCCCGGACTGTCCACATTCTTGCTCTATCTCTGTTATGAGTTGTGAAAACTTGTAGAAAGCACCGGTTTCATAAACACTGGTCTAGGCGTCTGCTCTTACCTTGACCCTACCTGCAGTAACGGTGAGCTGCCTTACAGGCTGAACAACCTCTTAGTTGATGTTTACTCAAACAGCCTTCCTTCAGATTCTTACCCATTTCCTCCTTCGTGCTGTAGTCGTATTTGTAGAGCTTGAAGTCGTCTCCTCCAGCCACGAAGAAGTCTTTGTCAGGGTGCAGTGATGCAGAGTGAATGGAAGCTGGGGCGTCAACGGTCTTAATCAGGTCCAAGCTACAGACAGAGGGAACATGGAGGTTATGACAGATAACTTTTACAATCAAAGTGCAATGACTGTGTGTCAGCTAAAGGCCAAAAACAGAAAACAGTATACAAATAAAGAAGGTAGGTTCAAATAAAGGCCGTATGCTGGGGATGCACAATCGGAATCGTCAGAAAACTGAATTTTTGCTCATAACAATCGGCTAATTTATTCTTTTTATTCCGGCAGTTGTGTTGCAATTTCATTATGTAAACAGTAGAGGCAGGTATGTGCTTTGAACGCTGCTGCCACACCTGTACCAAAATGTCGTATCATAATTATATATGACTCCTTGTGTTAAGCAGTCAGGCGCTTCTTACATTTGATTTAGCACTTTTATTTGATTCATGTTATTTAATTATAGGCAACTGATTTAAAATAAATGCCAGTTTGGCTCATTAAAGAGCAAATAACGCTGCTTATATTGGAAACTTGGCTGATAAACAGTGCTGGAAATGTGTTAGCATGTTTCGCCCACACAGTGAGTGCGTTTACATGCACTCAGTAATCTGATCATAATCAGATTTCTGCAGTTATCTGATTATTCCAATGGTCATGCGAAGAGCACCCTCTGATTTCTTAGATCGGAGTAAGGTCTAGAAATTTGATTAAGAAATCTGATAAAAAGGCTGTATTTTAGCTCAGTAGTCAGATTTCTCAGTGCATGTAAACTCTTACTCTGATTTCTTTCGGATTTCTCAGTCTGAGCATGTGTGAAAACAGACGCCGGCACCGGAAATAAGCGAGCAGCGTCGCCGCAAGACACAGCTAAACACTACTGGAGCGTCGCTGAAACCAAATACATGCTTGACGAACTGAAGGATTTAAATCTTCTTGATTTTTTTGATGTATATTCATATTTTTAGGCAAAGTGGTGCGAAAAAAATAATATGAAATTTGAGTTTTACATTATGTTTACAGCACTTCTTCTGTGAGTTTATTGGTTGTAAAGCAGAAATCTGATTACTGTCTGACCTATGTAGGCTAAGAATTTTGCCATTATCTGATCAAGTGCATGTAAACGTGTTGATCGGATAACTAAAATCCGATTTTCTGCAGTTATCGGATTATTAAGTGCATGTGAACGCGCTCACTGTGAGCTTTTAAGGCCAAAAAAATTGTCCATCAGCCAAAGAAATCAGAATCAACCACAAAAGTTCTTAAATGGTGCATCCTTATAGTATATAAATAAAAATTACAATTTTTGTTTTTTAAAACTAGAATAACCTAAATTTTGTTATACTTTGTTAGAGTATAATAATATGTTTGATCTCTCATTGGGTGACAGTGTAACTGGGCAGCTCTGGCCTAAATGGATCCTGTAAATACTGAGTCACTGTTAGCCATATAAGCATTCTGGGTGAAGTATTGATTTAAGGCAGCGAGAGTGACACTGCCTGTCCCTTAGTTAAATATTCGTTAATAATCTTGTGTATTGTTCTGGTCTGTTGAGTATGCACTGACAAACAAATGGTGAAAAACTAATCCTGATTCACTGGAGCATCCCACACACACACCCACCATCAATCACTGTCTACATCTGCTTGTTTTCATGAAAACTCATGCCGACAAGCAGTATGTGCCTAACAGCATAGTGTAGTGGTGCACCACATTTTTCTAAGCATGAGATATTTACGTGTGAGCTTTGTAGAAAGCAATGGTCCTTCCGTATGTGATGACGAGAATCTCCCCATCAGGAATGTACTCCATGCTGCTGACCGATGCTTCAAATGAGAGAGTCTTCACTGCTTCGCCTGTGTTTCTGTCCCAGAGGCTGGAGAGGAGAGCGAGATATTCAAATGCATTTAGTGAGGGGACACTTGTGCGGCTGCAATACTGTTACTGAAGCACCAAAATGCTTTCAAAAGTGGAAACACAATCAGTGAATACACTGAATTATCAGCTTAGAGGTACGCCTACCTTGTATCTGCACTCACTGGCTGTTTTCTCAGGTTCACCTACCATACAGGTGCACTCTGTAGGTTTACAGTTACAGACTGTAACCCATCTGATGCAGCATAATTAGAAAAAGTTGTTTCCAAACAATTAAATGCGTATCTAATACCAAACAAGTTATATGAGAAGTTCGTCAGGTTTTTGTTCCAAGGATAGCACTAAGACAGCATTGGCTGTGAATGAGTGATGCACAAAATCCATCTATTCTGGTTTTATAAGATCTTAGTGTAGCTTTTGATACCAGACCACAAGATTTTAATCCAACGTCTTGAATGCTGGGTCGGCCTCTCAGGCACAGTTTTAGAGTGGTTTATATTTAGGTAATTGGCAGTTCAGGGTTTCAATGGGAAATCATTCATCAAAAAGATTTGGCATTTCTTGTGGAGTCCCTCAAGGTTCAGTTTTAAGGCCTTTGCTTCTCTCTTTGTACATGCAACCTCTAGGTGACGTCATTAGGAAACATAATATAAATTTTCATGGCTATGCTGACGACACCCAGTTATACATTTCCATTCCTTCTGATGCTTAAGACTCTGTAGACAGACTAACCAGCAGATGTCGCAAAATTTTCCACAATTAAATCAAGTTAGTCGTTGGTACAAAAACTCAGAGAAAGCTGCTTTATGAGAACCTTGGTTCTTTAGCTTCATATACCAAACCTGAAGTACGAAAGCTGGGTGTGATCTTAGACTCTGAGCTCTGTTTTATCTGCATGTGAACACAGGTCACTAAAGTAGATTTTTATCATTTGAGAAATATCACAAACGTTCAGCCTTTTCAATCTCAGAGTGACGCAGAGAAACCTGCAAATGCATTTGTTATGAGCAGAGTTGATCACTGTAATGATCTTCTTACTTCCTACAAAAACAGTCCATCCTCTACAACTCGTACAAAACAGCATCCTAACAAAAACACAGAGATCAGATCTAGCCTGTTTTAAAAGAGCTGCCTGTATCATTCAGGACAGATTTTAAAGTTCTGCTACTAGGTTTTTTAGGCTCTAAATGACCATAAAGCACCACTTACATCATAGAGTGTCTGTTTATGATCTTAGATCTGCAGATACTGACCTACAAACACCTTCTGTAAAATACAGAAACGTGGAGAGACTCGTTGAGTTATTCTGCTTCTAACTCAATTCCACCTTTTATTGGACTTAAGAAGCATCTAAAAATGTAGCTCTTTAACTCAGCATTTAATTAAAAGTTACGTATTGGGGTATTTATCTTTTAATTTGACCTGTGTCATTTTCTTACATGATTCTAAATTAATGCTCATAAAGCTTAACAGTAATAGAAGAAATTATCACCTGTCTGTAAAACAGTTTGAGCTGCCGCAGGCATTAAGTGCTACAGAAATAAAAATGTATTTTTTATTATTATAATAATAATTATTATTATTATTATTAGCAGTAGCCACCTTCTACCTCATTCATTAGATGAAATGGGAAGCAAAAAACTGATCACCTCTCACACTGTTATATGATATCAAACTGCTTTATCGAACATCTCATTTTATGTCTACATTGTGCAGCGCTGCTCCAAGCCAACCCTAACTCTGCAGCTCAGGAAGTATCGACATGAAATGATATACTGCACTGCTGTGCAAGTGCAGATAATCACAGTGTCTACAGTTACACAGAATCATGTGTAGTCAGCCAATGCTTGCTCTTACGAGACACACGTGCAAAGGTGAGAGGAAAAACACAATATTATCCCTAAACATCTTATAAACTCTGGAGTTAATGTAGAACTGCTAATTCACCCTTTAACCCTGAAGATCAGCGCAGACTGCTGGGCACCACAGCAACACAGACAACAATCTTGCCCAGCTAGTAGCTAACGAAACGGCAAAGAGAGAGATTTAAGACAAACACCGATAATTTGGAGACGAATGAATATACTTGCATTTATAAATCACTCCAGCTGGTTTCCTGATATGTTTAATCTGCCAAAAGAAACGGTCAAACACCAAAAAGTCACAAAGCGGAAATTCTCTTCTCGTTCAAATCGTCCTCAGTAAGGTCAGCTCAATCAGAAGCTGACCTTAGCCTCCTTAAAAAAAAAACTACTTTTGGAAAAGTTTCCTGCCAGAGATGCGAGAAAAGTGGTCTACAGCTGAACTACAGCTGAAAGCAGAGCAAAGTAAGTCTGTGTTTTTATTTAAAATCTGTTAGCCTGTACTAACACATTAAAACACACTCAGTGACATTTACAGCCGAGAAGGTAAAATGGACATTAAATGTTGTGGCTCCCAAGGTGGTCTGATTTTTGCTGAAAGGACAAAATGGCTCTTCTTTACATTTGGGTTGCAGACCCCTGGTGTAGGGCCAGCATATTTATTTTCGGCTACACGGCAGAATTTGATTTTTAGGTAAAAATAAAATAATCCTCCATTGCTGTAAAATAAAGCTCTGATGACTGTTCAAAGCTAGTAGCTAACGAAAAGGCAAAGAGAGCGATTTAAGATGAACATTGATAATCTGGAGACGATGGACTTATTTGCATTTATAATCACTCCAGCTGGTTTCCTGATACGTTTAATCTGCAATGAAAAACTGGCAAACACTAAAGTCACGAGGCTGAAGTCAGTTTCTCATTCGCCAGCTTCTCGTTCCGATTTTCCCGTTCCATCTTAAATGGTGCCTGAGGTGCCAGAATGTAACTGTTGCATTATTTAAGGTGGAACGGGAAAATTCGAACAAGAAGCTGGCGAATGAGAAGCAACTTCAGCCTCGTAAAAAGTCGAACGTTGAGACACTTTACAAGAAACTCTTCCACTTTTGAGGAAAAGTTTCCTGCCGGAGACGCGAGAAAAGCAGCTATAGCTGAGCTAAAGCTTCAAGCAGAGCAAAGTAAGTGTGTTTTTGTTTATACTATATTTTTTAGTCTATACTAGAACATCAGCACATATTAAGACATATTTACAGCCAACATGGTAAAACGTTACTTCAATAAAATGGACATAAAATGTTGCGGCTCCCAAGGTGGTTTGATTTTTGCTAAAGGACAAAATTGCTCTTCTTAACGTTTGGGTTGTCCACCCCTGATCTAGCCCTTCATCAGTGGTCAGTTTCTGTCCACAGCATTACTGCTGGAGGGTATTTCTGACCGTCAGACTATTATAAACTAAGCAGTGACACTGACGCATGTTCAAAACCTGAGCAAGGCTGCTGTGGTCAGCCATGGCCCTATGGTGGTTCCTTTAACAGATGGCGTAGAGTGGTTAACACATTGTGCCACAGCAGACAGTAACTGTAAACCTACAACCTGCACCTAATGGCAGGTGTACCTGATAAAACAGCCAATGATTACAAAGCATTTGTACCTAATTAACTGGCGTCTCTGAACGTGGACGTCCAACACAACTCACCGTATAGTTTTGTCATCTGCAGCAGAGAGAATCTGCTGGTCATCGTTACACCACAGAGCTTTCTTGATGGCTGAGGTGTGGCCCGAAATCTCTTGAGGCTCTACAATAGAAATAAAATACCGTTTCATTCAATAAAAAGGCTTTTGTTGACAAATAGAAACCGTGTATTGAATCATGGGTGGAGGCAGGAGGCATAAATGATCTCTTAGAGACATAATCTCTGTCGTTCTCTTTCACTGAAACTTGCTGATGATCTGTTCTTTTCCATACCTGCTTCAGGTTTGCTGAGGTCATAGATGCGCAGCACTTTATCGTTACCTCCTGTCAGAAGGCAGTTGCTGTCCTGTTGATGCCGACACAGGAACAACACGGGGTCAGTTTTGCCGACACAGATTAAACAGACAGTAACAGCTTGCAAATCTTAACATATAAGAAAACCGAGAAATGCCCGCCAATATGGTTTCGTTCACATAGCAGGTAAAAGTGGCCCAAATCTGATCTTTTTCTTCATTTGTGACACAGATGTGCGCCAGTGTGAACAGATCAATACACTGAATCTGTTCCAATTCCGATTTGAGACGCTTTCATATGTGGTACTGAAATCCGATACGTATCCGATATGCGGTAACGCGACTAGTGATGGGCCGATCCACATTTTCAGTTCCGATCCGATTCCGATACACTGCTGATACTGATACAGATTCCAATACAAAAGCTCTTTTCACTTTAATATTATCATTATTATTGTTGATATCCTGTTTAAAGTTGTGTTTAATCTTCCAATCACTAAGTATATCTGTAATAAAGGCTGCAGCTGAACTGCTGGTGTGTGACCCCCTGCACTTTTTCACCTGACGCTCCGCGCTCTGCAGTCCTTATGTTTCCGAATTTACCCAGTGTACAGTGAGACGTATGAGACGCCAGGCTCACATCTGAGGTCCAAATATCAGTTGTGAAGCTCATGGCTTTAAGCACCGCTAACTGTGGTGACACTCAGTTGTACAGTTCGACTATCTCAGTCTCTGAAATGTATTTTCTGGGTGGAGATTATTCCTGGGCTCTAAGGCTACGTTCACATTACCAGGTTGAAGTGGCACAAATCCGATTTTTTGCCCTAATGTGACTCAGATCTGATGTTTTCAGAGCTGTGTGGACACACACATCTGATCTTTTCAAATCCAACCTGAGCCACTTTCATATGTGGTCCTAGATCGGATACGTATCAGATTCATCTCACCTTTTTCTCCTTCGTCTCGCTCTAATAATGAAGCTGAGAGCTGATCAGAGTTAATTATCTTCTCAGCGAAGCTCGTTCTGCTCGTTAGTTTGTGCTGATGATGCACGTGATTCATTCACGTGACGTTACTGAGTAGGATGAGCTCATGAGGGTCATTTCAGGACGCCGGTTCGTCACATTAACGACAGATTTGAATCACTTACCTAAACGAGTGTGAACCATCGTGTCAGAGAGATCAGATTTGAGCAAAAAATCGGATTTGAGAAATGAGGCTTGTAATGTGAACGTAGCTTAAGTGCCCCGACAAACTGTGATATCCGACATCTTCCACGACAGATAGCGGATGGTCATCGAGTATAATGAAGTATATAATCTAGTATACGAAGCAACTTCTCTGGTATCCCTTTAGCCTTTGGGGTGTCTGCTGGAGGTTTATCGCGTTTCTGGAGAGCATCAGTGAGAGTCGCTGCCAGGTCCTGTCTGTTAGCATGAACTCCTGGTACTCTTTCACATGAAACCTCTGCAGGTGATTAAACTGGTTGTATCGTACAACACAGCCGTCCTTCCACCCCTCACCATACTTTACACATATTACAAGTAGCGGTCTTGCTTTTCAGCATTTCCAGACTAAAATATCTCCAAACAACCAACATTTTACTCAAACCAACAGCTGATGTTATTCGCTCACTCATTTACACACTGAAGTTGCTGCCAGTTCATGGTAAGACATGGAATGGAATCTGGATCGGTGACGTTTCATTATGTTACGTTACAGTGGGTTCATGGTCCAGCGCTTATGGATTGGTAAGTGAATCGGCCCTGTCCGTCCGATATCTGATGAGTGAATTATGTCAATATCAGTCCCGATACCAACATAGGATCGGATCAGTTTTTAACAATGGGTGCGTATACATGCACTCAATAATCCGATCATAATCAGATTTCTGCAGTTATCCGATTATTCAAATGGTCATGTAAACACCATACTCTGATCTACAAATCCGATTAAATAATCCGATAAGAGGCTGGATTTTAGCTCAAGATTCAGATCTCTCAGTGCATGTAAACTCTTACTCTGATTTCTATCGGATTTCTCAGTCTGAGCATGTGCAAGATCAGACAGTGGACGTCGCGAGACGCAGCAAAACACTGTCAGAGCGGCGCTGAAACCAAACACAAAATAAAGCGTTTGAATATTCTTCATTTCTAGATGATGTATGTTTATCTTTTCAGGTAAAGCGGCGCCATGTTTCAAATAAAAAGCCACAGCATGAAGTTTGAGTTTTACGTTACGTCACATCTTCTTCTGTGAGTTCATTGGCTGGTTGCAAAGCAGAAATCTGACTACTGTCTGACTCACGTAGACCTGGATTTCCCCATTATCTGATTACTCAAGTGCATTGTGGCATGCACCCGCCCCCCGGGCCCGAACACCCAGCGGCGACAAACCTCGGCCAGGACGGCAGGGAGAGAGCCGCGGGTGGGGAGGGGGCGGAGCGCAAAGCCCGGGCTCCTCCGAGTAACCCGAGTGACACGAGTGACCGCGGCCGTCATCGTCGGGGCCCGGGGGCAGGCGCATGCCACATGCATGTAAACGTGTTGATCGGATTACTGACAAAAATCTGATTTTCTGCAGTTATCGGATTATTGAGTGCATGTAAACACACTCAATGTGAAACTGCCGGTTGTGACGATCACAACGATCAAGCATGGCTTCCTTCACCACACACTGATGCACTACGCAGGGATAAACATTCATAGACAAACTATTTCTTTCCATTTTTATTTTTAGCAGGAACACATCTGATTTGTGCTTGGCATCAGTGAAACCATGGCAACCAATGGTCAGCTCGGGTTCAGAAACACCCACAGGCAATGAGCGACCAGCGATTTGGATGACAAGTGGTGAAATGTTGCTGCCGGTGTGAACACAGGGTAACAACAGAGCAAGTAACTGAGTACAGGCATACTAATATTGCCTGTATCAGCTCAACAGGTGCGTTACCTGCGTGAAGTTAACACATTTAACAATGTGCTTGTGCGCCAAGGTGAGGACCTCATCTCCAGTGACTGCATCCCACACCTTTCTGTAAGATAAGAAGACGACGACATGACGTCCGACAATGCCTAATTTATCCCAAAGGGCATGAATCTGCTGTGAGTGTTACTTACGCTGAGAAATCAGCAGCAGCAGTAGCTGCCTTAGTGGCTTCTTTATTTAAGGTGGCCCCCCAAACGGCACCTTTGTGACCCAAGAACGTCCCGATCCAGTCCCCTGTGTCTCCCTGGCGCAACATCGGTTTGCCATCTGCAAAGGCGAACAAGATGAGACTGAATAAAAAGGTTAACTGGCATAACATTTATTTGACATGCAAGCCTAACAGTACTCACAACAGTGATTTCTAGAAGGGATATTTACATGGTACAGTGTGTACTCAGTGTCATTTACTAAATAAAGGGTCCAGACCTACCTTTGCAAGCACTTATAAGGAAATAGCCGTAAGGTGTTATTCCACTGAAGGCCAGATCCACAACAGGTCTGGTGTGGCCTGAGCAGGTGAGCGGAGTTTGCCTCATAGCCATTCTCTAATGTAAACCTGGAGAAATAACAGCAGCTTTATTAGGATAATTAATCTTCAATTATTTCACTCTGACATAAGACTGCAAGGCAATTCAACGACCTGGACAACTGCCTTAACACAGAGAGAGGATAGAAGAATGTAATATCACGATACTTTAAGAAGTTTTCATTATACAGGACATGTGACAAAATATACACCGATCAGGCATAACATTATGATCCCTTCCTTGTTTCTATGCTCATTGTCCATTTTATCAGCTTTTTAAAGGTAGAATGGTCACAGACTGTAGTCCATCTGTTTCTGCATACTTTGTTAGCCCCCTTTTACCCTGTTCTTCAGTGGTCAGGACCCCCATGGACCCTCACAGAGCAGGTACTATTTGGGTGGTGGATCATTCTCAGCACTGCAGTAACACTGACGTGGTGGTGGTGTGTTAGTGTGTGTTGTGCTGGTCTGAGTGGATCAGACACAGCAGTGCTGCTGGAGTTTTTAAACACCTCAGTGTCGCTGCTGGACTGAGAATAGTCCACCAACCAAAGATATCCAGCCAACAGCGTCCTGTGGGCAGCGTCCTGTGACCACTGATGAAGGACTAGAGGATGACCAACACAAACTGTGCAGCAGCAGATGAGCTATCGTCTCTGACTTTACATCTACAAGGTGGACCGACAAGGTAGGAGTCTCTAATAGAGTGGACAGTGAGTGGACACAGTGTTTAAAAACTCCAGCAGCACTGCTGTGTCTGATCCACTCGCACCAGCACAACACACACTAACACACCACCACCACGTCAGTCTTACTGCAGTGCTGAGAATGACCCACCACCCAAATAGTACCTGCTCTGTGGGGGTCCATGGGGGTCCTGACCACTGAAGAACAGGGTAAAAGGGGGCTAACAAAGTATCAGAGAAGCAGATGGACTACAGTCTGTAACTGTAGAACTACAAAGTGCACCTATATAGTAAGTGGAGCTGATAAAATGGACAGTGAGCGCAGAAACAAGGAGGTGGTCATAAAGTTACGCCTGATCGGTGAATCTACTTCACAGATAATATTCTGATAATCCTTTATTGAAAGCATTTGCATTTAATATTCGTTCTTGTAAAGGGGAACTTATTATACATAATTAAATGGCTGAGATATAAACAAAGTCATTCAGACTGGTTTGGTGTGAAACGCTCTTACTGAGTCAGAACTGTTCACAGTGGTGGTGATAGGAACCAGACGTCCACCTCTAAAAGCTCCCTCACAGAAAGTTACTACATGAAATGCTTGATAGTTTATAAAGTTGTGTTTAAAATGCATTCATAATGTCATAATGTTATGCCTGATTGGTGTAGAACCATCATTTCACATCCTGTGTGGCACTAAAACCAATTTACAGGACTAATAATGCTCTCTTTGTGATCAATCATGTGGTTGGGAAGTGTCTCAACTACTGAGGACATCCACTGCATGCTCAGAAAGGTATATTGTGACATAATTTATTAGAATAACAATAACAACAATAACAATAAATTAAAAAAAGGATGGTCCTTCAATGGCTCTTTAACAAAGACAATGGTTCTACGTAGAACCATGAACACTCATAGAACCATTTACATGCTTAAATGATCTTTGCATGGTGAAATGGTCATTCAGATTGATGAGGAATGTGCTGTATATGGTTCTACACAGCACCTTTTTGAAAAAGGTCATCTATGTAGCACCAACAAGGGTTCCTCTGTTGTTACGATGTCAAGCTTGTGATGAGAAAGATTTAATGAAACATTCCCTGATTAATAATCAATAAATAAATTATTGGCTAACTTGAGCATTTGGAGAGCTCCTAAAACAGGTAACATTGGGGAGCAGGCTATAGACTGCATGCATCTGGAATATCATCTCTAAAGGGGATGAACTCAATGAACTCTTGCACTCACAAAAAGAAACTGTACAAATTATAGCTACAAATTACAGCTGAAGTGAAGGGAATTGTATTAGATGACAGTACAAATTATAGCTGAAGGGAACTCCTGAACTTGGGTGAAGAAGCTGTGCAAGATGACCCTGTGAGGACAGAACAGCCTGAGACGACCGGGTCAGAATGGTTTTTAAAAAAGGACATCATAAGGCTCCCGAGTGGCGCAACCATCTAAGCGTTGGCCCTATCGTCAGGAGATCGCGAGTTCGATCCCTGGTGATGGTACAGCCGTCCGTAGCCGGGAGTCCAAGAGAGCACAGGCCTTGCTCTCTCTGGGTGGGTAGGATGGCCCCTCCTTCTCCCCGCCATCACTCAGCGCAATGCTAGTCAGCGCAGGCGTCTGTTAGCTGACGTAACAGATCTGGCGGTTGGCGCTTTCCTCCGAGCGTGTTCGGCTGTCCAGTGACGTTGCGTGGGTGGCAGCTCGAAAAGAAGCGGTGGTTGGCTTCACAGGTCTCGGAGGAAGCCTGTGTTAGCCTTCACCCTCCTAGCGTTGATAGCATCGTGTGATTGGGGGAGTCCTAACTAGCGGGGTGGAATTGGAAACGACTAAATTGGGGAGAAAATCGGGTGGAAAAAAAAAAAATTATAATAAATAATAATAAAAAAAAAGGACATCATGAGTGTCCCATTTCTTCTTTTTATCCCTACCCCTTGTTTTCGAGTGTCACCCTAACCTCTTGGAACTGAGTTACAGGGTAGTGGTTGAAATCTTCCCTCTGAAATGAGACCCTCAAATAAAAAGAGCATCACTTCATTAACAGCTACCAGCGCTGCTCTGTAGGCGACCCTGCCAGTCTGCAGTGACAGCAGAGGAGGGTAAAGTTCAGCTCCTCACTGCTGGGCTTTAGTTACATTTAGGGAATCAGATGATCTTCAAAGAGGGGGGCAATTATTTATTATCGCCCACCCCTAATTCTTCAGTGATATGAAGCTGAAGTCAGATATTCTTGTTCGAAATTTCCCGTTCCACCTTAAATGGTGCAGCAGTTACATTCTAGCTGGACTGCTGGACTATTTAAGGTGGAACGGGAAAGTTAGCTAGCCAGCTCCCGAGATATCAGCATACTATTAGTGATATTTTATGCTTATGAAGAAAACGGCACTGAAACGACATTAAACTAAGATAATACAGTGATTATCGTGACTTTTTAATGGAGAAAATTCTCACATTTGTGGGTTTCTTTGGTCTCTTGTTCTCCATCTTGCTGGTTTTTCTCTTTTTCTCATATCTCTCTGTTTGGAGTCTCTGAAAAACCTCTGTTTGGAGGGTCATGTAGCCCCAACGCTTCACCCTCCCCCTCTATCTCAACAAGAATCAGGACACACTACCCCTAGACGTGAACGCCCAAAACAGAGGGCTAAGGGCTCAGTGGTAGGGGCGAGGGGTGAAATGGGATTGGGCCTTGGTTTTCAGGGGAGCCAAAAAGGGTGCAGGGTTTGGATATAATGGGGATTAAGGTGGTGTGGAGTTGTGTAAAAAGGGGTGGGGTGATCACGTCATCATCCCAAAGGGAATAAAAAAGGATGTTTGAGATGATATTTGCATTGTGGTGGTCCGGGAACCATCTTGCCACTCGATGCTCAATAAAGAGAAGGCTTTTCCCTTCCTTCCACAAGAACTCAGCAGTCTTTTTATTCTTTTTCATCCTTTTTTACTTTTTTTCATCCTTTTTTACTTTTTGTTGATGTTTTTTTAGATTCTTTTAAATCTTTTAAAGAAGTAAGATCACAGATAGTTTTCAGGGCAATAGCATAGAACAGAGATGTTCATAAACGTCTAGACCCTGGGGTTCTTCAGTTGTTACAGCACCAAGTTTGTAACCAAAGAAATCCCCTTTTTTTTGGTGGTATACAGAACCATTTCGTGCTTAAATGGTTCTCTGCATGGTGAAATGGTTCTACAGATTGATAGAAAATGTGTTGTGATGCAATTGACTCTACCTAGCACCAAAACGGTTCTTCTATCATTACCATGTCAAGCTTGTAACCCTTTTGGGTTCTATATAGAACCATTTCATGCTTAAAGGGGCCTTTGCATTACGGAATGGTTCTTCAGAACGGTGGAGAATGTGTTGTATATGGTTCTATATAGCACCAAAATGGGTTCTTCCGTTGTTACAGTGTCAGGTTTGTAACCAAAGAAAAACCCCTTTTTTGGTGCTATATAGAACCATTTCATGCTTAAATGGTTCTTTGCACGGTGAAATTTTTTTTGTTTTTTTTTTATAGAATGTGTAAAAAAAAGGGTTCTTCTATCATTACCATGCCAAGCTTGTAACCCTTTTTGGTTCTATACAGAACCATTTTCAAAAACCACACACACAACAAATTCTTCATCAATCTGAAGACACATTAAACCATGAGATGGTTCTATACAGAACTTATGGTTCTAAATAGAACCATTTCAAGCTTAAATGGTCTTCTATCATTACCACGTCATACGGTTCTTCTATCATTACCACGTCAAGCTTTTAACCCTTTTTGGTTCTATACAGAACCATTTTCCAAAAGGTTCCACATAGAACCACAAACAATAATTCTCCATCAATCTGAAGCCCCATTAAACCATGAGATGGTTCTATACAGAACTCGTGGCTCTAAACAGAACCATTCTATCATTACCCTGCCAAGCTTGTAATCCTTTTTGGTTCTATACAAAACCATTTTCAAAAAGAACCACACACACAACAAATTCTCCATCAATCTGAAGACCCATTAAACCATGAGATGGTTCTATACAGAACTCGTGGCTCTAAACAGAACCATTTCATGCTTAAATGGTTCTTTGCATGGTGAAATAGCTTTTTAGATCGATAGAGAGTGTTGTATACGGTTCTATATAGCACCGAAACAGTTCTTCAGTTGTTACAGTGCCAAGTTTGTAACCAAAGAAAACCCCTTTTTTGGTGCTATTTAGAACCATCTCATGCTTAAATGGTTATTCAGATTGATAGAGAGTGTTGTGATGAAATTGTCTCTACCCAGCACCAAAACGGTTCTTCTATCATTACCCTGCCAAGCTTGTAACCCTTTTTTGGTTCTATACAGAACCATTTTCAAAAAGGTTCTACATAGAACCACACACAACAAATTCTCCATCAGTCTGAAGACATTTTAAACCATGAGATGGTTCTATACAGAACCATTTTGTGCTTACATGGTTCTTTGCATGGTGAAATAGTTTTTTAGATTGATAGAGAATGTGTTGAATATGGTTCTATGAAGAAAGGTTCTATATAGCACCGAAACGGGTTCTTCAGTTGTTACAGTGTCAAGTTTGTAACCAAAGAAAAACCCTTTTTTGGTGCTATATAGAACCATTTCATGCTAAAATAGAGAGTGTGGTGATGAAACTGACTCTACCTAGCACCAAAAAGGGCTCTTCTATCGTTATCATGTCAAGTTTGTAACCCTTTTTTGGTTCTATACAGAACTCGTGACTCTAAACAGAACCATTCACTTTAGTAACGAACCCCCTGTTTTAACAGTGTGGTTAACTTCAGCGAGCGGCTAAGAGCGAGACCGGCCTGCTCAAGCCTCCACAAACACGTTCAGCCAGCAGGTTAAAATGTAAATATGAATGAAATGCTGAGGTTATAATAATAATAAAGCTCCGTTTGATCCAGCTGTAACTGCGGAACTCAAACAGGCCTGAAAATCAAGCCATTTTTAGCTGACAGGGCGCTAACGCTAGCTAGCTAACCCAGCTAACGCACTGTGTAGCTCACTGTGCCTCACAGTAGCGTGAGCTAATGCTAAGCTAACCTCTGCTACACGAAGCAGAAGTCAGCTTCTTGTTCGAATTTCTCCGTCCCACCTTAAATGGGGCAAGCGGTTACGTCCTGGCGCTTCCCGTTCCACCGCAACTGCCGCCCCATTTAAGGTGGAACGGGAAAATTCGAACAAGAAGCCGAACTCATCTTTGTCTCTGCCAACAGTAGCGTAAGCGAATGCTAACGTAGCTAAGCTAACCTCTGCTAAACGAAGCCAAAGTCAGCTTCTTGTTCGAATTTCTCCGTTCCACCTTAAATGGGGCAGGCAGTTACATCCTGGCGCGTCCCGTTCGACCGCAACATGCTGCCCCATTTAAGGTGGAACAGGAAAATTCGAACAAGAAGCCGATCCCAGCCTCGTCTCTGCTAACCGGTTTACGGTGTAACATTACCTCGTTCACAGACAGCAAACGAACGGACCCGTAGATGTGTTCTTGCCCCGCGACGCTGGGAGAGGTGATTCTCGGGGAGGTCAGCGCTGTAGATGTAATATTAGCTCCGTGGAGAGCCGGCGAAGGAGGGAGAGCACCCGCTGGAAGTGCTGTGCCACCAACAGCAGCAGCTACAGCCAGAGCCGAAAGCGCGGAAGGCCGCTGAGCGCTCACATAACGGGCCCGGACAGGAAACCGCGCTCTGACCCGGCACCATCACATCCGAGCAGAAACAAGACACCGAGATTTAGGGCTGGGTGATATCACAATATTTACCGGTATCGCGATAAAGCACATCACGATACAACACTTTTTAAATTGTTATTAAAGCATTAATACATATTATACTACAGAGCTCCTACGGGGCCATGATCAGTGGTTAAAAAAACAAAAAAACAAAAACAAAAGTTATGACATTGTGTTCCCTCGCACTATTGCAAAGGATTGGAAAACTTTTAATAAAAATATTAGTAACATTAATTCAAAATGTAGTATTTTTAATGTATGTCAGTGTGCTCATTTAACCACTTCTGTAATTGCCCAGTATTGATAAGCTGTAGCTAAAATCAATACATAAATTAAATCAGGCGTGCACACTGCTGATGGAATTTAATAAATCCATGTGATGGCTGGAGGCATCCAGGATAAACTTTGTTCTACAAACTAGCCCACAAGTTATCATCTACTATTTATATCTATCTTAATATCTATATGTAACATTACATACACCGATCAGGCGTAACTTTATAACCACCTCCTTGTTTCTACACTCATTGTCCATTTTATCAGCTCCACTTACTATATAGGTGCACTTTGTAGTTCTACAACTACAGATTCAATTACTGTTCTTCAGTGGTCAGGGCCCCCATGGACCCTCACAGAGCAGGTACTATTTGGGTGGTGGGTCATTCTCAGCACTGCAGTAAGACTGACGTGGTGGTGGTGTGTTAGTGTGTGTTGTGCTGGTCTGAGTGGATCAGACACAGCAGTGCTGCTGGAGTTTTTAAACACTGTGTCCACTCACTGTCCACTCCTACCTTGTCAGTCCACCTTGTAGATGTAAAGTCAGAGACGATAGCTCATCTCTTGCTGCACAGTTTGTGTTGGTCATCCTCTAGTCCTTCATCAGTGGTCACAGGACGCTGCCCACAGGACGCTGTTGGCTGGATATTTTTGGTTGGTGGACTATTCTCAGTCCAGCAGCGACACTGAGGTGTTTAAAAACTCCAGCAGCACTGCTGTGTCTGATCCACTCAGACCAGCGCAACACACACGAACACACCACCACCACGTCAGTGTTACTGCAGTGCTGAGAATGATCCACCACCCAAATAGTACCTGCTCTGTGAGGGTCCATGGGGGTCCTGACCACTGAAGAACAGGGTAAAAGGGGGCTAACAAAGTATCAGAGAAACAGATGGACTACAGTCTGTAACTGTAGAACTACAAAGTGCAGAAACAAAGTGTTTTTTAGCCAAGCAAGGTCTTTCCCAAAACTTTTAGACAGGCTGCATGAAAAAAATTGATGTTCTAATATTTTTGGTTCTAAGGTTTTAGGTAATACTTTACTTTGATGTTCCACTATAGATGTTATGTACACGCTCAGGCTGTCGTTAAGTAACATTCAACTAAATATCTACACCCTTAGAAAAGATGGCTCTTGAAGGGTTCTTTAGTAAAGAAAATGGTTTTATATAGAACCATGAACACTCAAAGAACCCTTTGCATGATTAAAGTGTTCTTTGCATCCTGAAAGAGTTTGTCAGATTGACGGAGAACGGCTATAGATGGTGCTATATAGAATCTTTTTGAAAAGGATTCTATATAGCACCAAAAAGCGTTCTGCTATTGTTACAAGCTTGACATCGTAACAATAGAAGAACGCTTTTTGGTGCTATCTAGAACCATGTCAGAAACATTCCCCATCGATCTGTAAAGAACTGTCTTCTTTACAGAGCATTACAATCCATATTAAATATGTGTGTATTGAGAATTCATTGCATGGACGAATGTTTATAGTTTTAAAATCCACCTCCTTCGCTTTCGGTATGAGAGGAAAAGAAAGATATATTGTTTGAATTTCACCAAAGTCTTTATAGAAAAGTCTGTCCACTCAGTGGCCATCTTCGCAACACCGCCGGGCAGTTATTCACAGCCATACAAGCCCAAACTCCTGTCTCTCTGAATGGAAGGAGACCAAAATGCTCAAAACTGAAGGTCAAATTACTGTTTAAAAAACATATTTGAGCCTCATAAATAGTCTATAGCATTTGTCTTAGTAACCAGCGAGCTGATTGGCTCTTTTTCTCGAAGGGCGGGACTTTCTCCCCAAACAGATGCCATGTTGAGTGTGGCAAGCTGTCTCATTCATATTTTAACCAGTGACCATCTCCTTCTTTGTAACATCTCTGATTTTATATGCCACAGATAGTTTACGAGGAGCCAAAGCCGGAGGGCACCCATGATTGAGTCCTCAATGAATGGGAGTCAATGGAGCTAAACAGCTAAAAACAAAAAGTTAAAACAGTTTCTAATCACTCGCCCAGAACTTTCCTCTAATTTTAGACAGTAGAAGTTTGTATTTTACTAAAAAAGCAAAGAAAACTCACCTGTATGTTTAATTTTTTCCACAGCAAACGAGTTTTGGGCAGCAGGACGCTAACATTACTGCTACTGAGTGCTGATTGGTTGGCATTACTGCTACTGAGTGCTGATTAGTTGGCATGACTGCTACTGAGTGCTGATTAGTTGGCATTACTGCTACTGAGTGCTGATTAGTTGACATTACTGCTACTGAGTGCTGATTGGTTAGCATTACTGCTACTGAGTGCTGATTGGTTAACATTACTGCTACTGAGTGCTGATTGGCATTTTTATTATTATTTCAGTAATTCAAAAATGTATTACTTTTCTTAGTTTCTACAATGTAAGGATTGGAGAACTGATTTTAATTCCATTAAGAAGAGACAGCTATCTATCTATCTGTATACCTGCCTGTCTATCTATCTGTCTGTCTATCTATCTATCTATCTATCTATCTATCTATCCATCTATCTGTCTACCTACCTGTCTGTCTATCTATCTATCTGTATACCTGCCTGTCTATCTATCTGTCTGTCTATCTATCTGTATACCTACCTGTCTGTCTATCTATCTATCTATCTGTATACCTGCCTGTCTATCTATCTATCTGTCTGTCTATCTATCTATCTGTCTATCTATCTGTATACCTACTTGTCTATCTATCTATCTGTCTATCTGTCTGTCTGTCTGTATACCTACCTGTCTATCTATCTATCTGTATACCTGCCTGTCTATCTATCTATCTATCTGTATACCTGCCTGTCTATCTATCTATCTGTATACCTGCCTGTCTATCTATCTATCTATCTATCTATCTATCTATCTAAGAGAAGTGATGTATTGTTCAGCTTCTATTTCAAATCTGAGAAAATCTGGTTTGGACCGAGTAAATTTACATTCATGAACTTTATTATTGTTATAATGACTGAAGCCAAACAACACGTTAACCGGGCGGAGGTTAGGAGCTGTTCTGTGCGGGATCCGTGGCAGAGCAGGTGCGGCGGAGGTTCTGGGTTTAGGATCAATGGATTCATGTCTGTTTTGAACGCAGCCTCTGACGTAGGCCGATGAGTCACAGGTTCCGGCATGCACCGCGCGGTCTTCCTGCAGGGGAGGGGGCAGTAGAGGTGTGTCCGCTGCGCGTTAAAGCTGGTTCTCGGTGAAAAAGCCCGCACTCTGCTGCGCCACATCTGCTCCGCACGGCGTTTCTCCCCCTCCGCGATGGCCAACTACATCCACGTACCGGACGGCGCGCCTGTCGTGCCCAAATTCAACGTGACTGTGGACGAGCACGACTTCAGACCCGGAGCGCTGCGGCTGATCCAGCAGCTCAGACCGAGCTGGAAGCCCAAAGAGGTCAACATGAAGGTATGACGCTCGTGCACGCGCGCGGATCAAAGAGGGGTCTATTCCCTGCTAGAGACCACCCGCCCCCTTTACCACGTTATATAAGTTAGCTATATAAGGCAGAAGGCGCTATAGCTGCGTCACCAGTTTGCGCATTCACGCTCCGACTTTCAGTGCGACATTCATTTGTGGAGGCGCGTTGCTGAAGGGGAACTCCACCCATATTTTGAAAATTCTCCATAACTAAATTGTTGAGGTATGTTGATATGTAAATAAAGTGCATTCAGAGTGGTCTGGTGTGAAATGCTTCGTTCCAGAGAGTCAGAACTGTTCACAGTGGTGGTGATAGGAACCAGACGTCCACCTCTAAAAACTCCCTCACAGAAAGTTACTACAGGAATGAAATGGTAATGAATTCACTGCCTAAAGATGGTTTTGGCCTAAAATGTATTTTAATCCATTTTATTTTAATCCATTCATGGCGGAGGGATACGTGCAGGGTGTTGTGAGGCAAAATAGTCCCCAAAGAAAAGTTATTAGTTTTAGATTTTCCACTATTTAAACATAGTCAACATTACGTATTACACTATATTAACTCAGAAGATTTATTGGTGGTTTGGAAAGTAAGTAAAATGTCTATAAATGTCTATGTTGTAGTCATGGCGACGCCTGATTCGTATCACCACCATTGTAAAGAGTCCCAACAATAAACCTTTTCACTCCAAACCACCCCGAATGACTGTTTACATCTCAGACACGGAATTATGTAGAAATTTAGATAAATGAGTGGAATTCCCCTTGAATGTCAGTAAGCTGCTGGTGGGTGGGTGGATTAGGAGCCGGTCACATGCTTGTATTCCCTATTTGCATATTAATAATAATTAAAGATGAATATCACCAACTTTTCAAAGTGTCTGCACGATTCACTCGTTGAGATCTAAACAAAGTCCTCCTGAGTGGGATGACGTGAAACTCAGCGACTCAGCGACTCAGATGTCTTTACAGTGGTGGTGATAGGAACCAGGGGTCACCATGTCTACAACCCAAACATGCAGAGTTCATACGGATCCGTAAAACCAGGAAGAGTCACAGACAGTAAATGTGCCAGAATCTAGTAATGAATTCTCCTTGAAAGATAATAAAATTGACAAATGTACATGGAAAAACGTTTCTGTATTCATTTTAATTTCATAAAATATGTGAATGTATGTGACGTTAAGTGTTACCATCCTTGAGCCGGTTTTATGTTGTAAGCTGCAACTTAACGTACATTGAGTTTACACACTTCTCTGTCTGTCTTTGCAAACTGTTATTAATTTAACCTCTTCAACTCCTTGAGACCACCGGTGGTTCCAAAACGCACTTCGTCATATTCTTCATAACTTTCATGTTTCATAAGCTACATTCTAAAGGTGGGCGTCGTATGAGAGCTGTAACTGTCTTTTTCCAGTTAAGTAGATGGGTGATGTAGTTTTAAACCCTTATAATAAAAGAAGCTGAACTCTTTTGAACTTTTTCTACTGAAAGTCGACCCATTTTTCCACAAATCTGGGCTATAAACTATAAACAGATGGCGCCTCTTCAGTGATCTCTGTAAACATTATTTTTATAAAATAATACAAAGAGCGTCTAAGATTTTTGGCTTTCAGCAGTAAATTGTAAGCATATAGCAATATGTGTGATCATAAAACACATTTTCTGTTAATTTGAGGGGAAATAATTGACATGCAGTTACTGAATAATTTGCCTTATGATTTGGTCATGTAAATTCAGATGGACAAACCAAAATATACCCTGAAGAATAAGAGGTTAAAATCACCAATATTACACTTTAATGTAGGTTCTTTTAATGTCCCTGTGGAAATTCAGTACTCCAGCATTTAATCTTTGGTTCTGGATAAGCCCTATACTTTGAAAATGACTGAAGTGCACAAACCCTAAATATATAGCCATTTTATTTACCATCCAAAACCTCCAGTGAACCTACACGTCTTCTGAGTTTATATGGGATGTTGATGATGATGAAAAGTTGAAAATTAGAAAAAATAACTTTTGTTGGGGTACTTCGCGTCTACGGATGTTAAAAATGATACTTTAGGCCAAAACCTCCTCTCAAAGTCTCAGACGTCAGGCAAAGTATTTTTAAGTATTTTAACAGACTCATTCAGAGTGGGTTGGTGTGAAACACTCCGATCTAGAGAAACTTGCCGAGTCCGAATCATTCACAGTGGTAGTGATAGGAACCAGACGTCCAAAGTTTAATGCCTGTGTCATAGGAAGTTTATTGTAAACTAAATAGTTACAACTGTGTCACCTGATATCTGAGACATGATAGTTTTACAATAAGAATTTGGCCTGAAATGTATTTTTAAACATCTATTCATGGCGGAGGGGTACATGCATGGCGTTGTGAGACTAAATAGTCCCTAAGAAACATATTTGTGTTGTAGACATGGCGACCCCTGGTTCCTATCACCACCACTATAAAGAAACCTGAGTCTCTAACAATGAACCATTTCACACCAAACCACTCTGAACAACTTTGTGTCTCAACCACTGAATTATGGAGGAGTTTTGAAAAATCAGTGGAGTTCCTCTTTAAAATATTTGGACGTCTGGTTCCTATCACCACCACTGTGAACAGTTCTGACTCGATAAGTATCTCTAGAACAGAGCGTTTCGCACCAAACCACTCTGAACGACTCTGTTTACATCTCAATGATTGAATTACACAGGATTTTTGAAAAAGTGGTGGAATTGTCCTTTAAGATATCCGAGGGCCAGTTTATTTTGAAGTTGTCAAAAGAAGCGTTCTAGGTCGCGTTTCCTTTTCCTGCTCTTTAACTACACAGTGCTGTGGGGAGCGTTACAGTGTGAAAGATTCAAAAATAAACGTGTCAGAGGAAATGAGCTGGTTATGTTACAGCCTGCGAAGTGCACATGATGGCCGCCGTAACAGCCTCTGCCTTGCCTTGCCTTGACTTTGCACATGTACTGTGTGTGTGTTCTTCAGCATACAAGAGGGGAACACCAATTTAGAATCACTCAAGCAACTTTTAGCTGGATCTGCTTCCTGTGTTAAAGGGAAAGTCCACCTACTTTTCAAAATTTCTACATAACTAACCGGTTAATATGTAAACAGAGTCATTCAGAGTGGTTTGGTGTGAAACCCTCCGTTCTAGAGAAACTTACCGAGTCAGAATCATTCACAATGGTGGCGATAGGAACCAGACGTCTGAACAGCTTAAAGGGGAATTCCACCGATTTTTCTAAATTTCTCCTTAATTCAGTGGTTGAGACACAAAGTTGTTCAGAGTGGTTTGGTGTGAAACGCTCTGTTCTAGAGAAACTTACCGAGTCAGAATCATTCACAGTGGTGATGATAGGAACCAGACGTCAAGTCAAGTCAAGGTTTATTTATATAGCGCTTTTTACAACAGGTGTTGTCACAAAGCAGCTTTACAGAAAAATCCGGGTCTGAGCCCCCATGAGTGTTGCCAACCTCTGCCTCTAAAAGCTCCCTCACAGAGAGTTACTACATGAAATGGTTATGTATACCCTGCCTGAATATCTCTGACATTGTTTTATGATAGTTTTGCGAGGCCTAAAACATGTTTTTAAAAGCCATTTATTGCAGCGAGTTACATGTCAAATGTTATACGACAAAGTAGTGGCCAAAGAAAACATACTTGTTCAGATTTTAACATCATCAGTGTCATATATAAAGCTTTGAAGATGCGCTGGCTGTTTTGAATTGCAAATAAGATGGCTATATTTACTTAGCCAACATTGTGACTGTGGTTCCTATCACCAGCACTGTATAAGACGTTCTGAATTGTTTCGAAACACTCTGAATGACTTTGTTTACATCTCAACAATAAATGATGAGTTATGGAGAAATTTTGAAAAGTGAGCGGAGTTTCCCTTTAACTGTAGTGCAGTCGGAAGTGTGGCAAAGCTAAAATGTGCTGCGGCCTAATAGGTGGTTTATTACCATGACAGAAACAGTACTTGGCTTCAGAATGGCAAACGTGACCTTCACCCACAGGCTGAGAACCTGCTTATTTGCCTTTTAATTGAAAGACAAACCGTCCTACGAGGACCGGGGCACTGAGAGCGCATTGTCTGCTCCGTTTTACCACAAGAAAAAGAAACTCAAACCCGTCGCTCTAGTTCTGTGCCCGCTATTTAGCGCACTCTTTTCATCTCAGGTTTCTCGGTGTTTTTTGTTGGCAGCGCTATGGAGACAGGGGTGTTTTCTTGCCCCGTGGTTCAGCAGAGCAGGTTTGGCTCTGGATTTGCCAGGTGCGGCAGTATTTGCATTGAGCTTTGCTTCGGGAACCTTCCAGTCCTCCACTCGTGGAGATGGGAGGGCCTCGGTCACGAGACGCTGTCCATGTAAAACAGTTTCCCTCCTAAAGTCAATAAATAATGCTGGCTGTGCCTTAAAGGGCCCATATAACATACTTATGATGGTTTTTTATGTACCAAAAAGTCTTAATTCACTGATAAAATACAATATCCAGCCTCTCTTTACTCTTTTGAACAGGCTCTTTTTGTTATTGTGTCTTTAAAGTGTAAGTTTAAAGTATATATGTAAATGAGCTCTGTTCTGATTGGCTGACCCGTATTGTGCCTCATTCAAAAAGCAGTCCGGGCTGAAGCACTGATTGTAATTTTAATGTGAGTATTTAATGCTAAACTGCTGTTTAGGCTGAGTAGGTAGATTTATGTAATATATGTGTTTGGTTTTTCATGACATCACAAAAACAGTGACTCAGACTCTTTCAGTAGGGAAGACTGTTGGGTCAATATCAATATGGGACACTGATGTATTTTTATATATAGCTGGTAGGCCTCTCACAGTTAATACACAATCCCCTCATCACAATTGAGCTGATCAGTTCGTTTCTGCGGTTGATGGCTTTCGCAATCATGTGTTTGTGTCACAACAAACAGACACATTTTCATCAGTTGTGTTGAGGTTGAAGCACATGCATACAAATAAAGACAAGCAGAAA